CACTCAATAAAAATTTGCACGCTCACGAAGGACGAGCGGGGCGAACGCCCGCACGCAGGCGACCGCGCATCAGCCTCCCCGCAACGCCGGCCGGATGTGAAAAGGGTCGTTTACGCGTATCGCGTGTCCCATATGGGGTGAGCGAAGCGAGATGGATACAATCGGTGCGGATGGAACAAGGCCGACCCGGCGACGTTTATGGAGCGGTATGTTTATAGATGATAACGCGCTTTTACTGCTCAGTATGTTTGGGGCAATTTACTCTCGCATCGCCGTGTCCCGCGCGCGGCAAAGACGCGAGAGCGTATCTTTCGCGTATTTGAATTATGTGTGTAACTTGGGTAGTTTATAAAGTGCGCTATGCGCGCCGTAGCATATTTCCGACGAGAAATTACTGTACTCGAAATTACTGCACGGTCGAGAAGAAGTGCGGCGGCCGCGGAGGCATCTCGCACAAGCGCGTGGAAAACCATTCTTTAATACAACAACTAAATTATCTCCTGTAGTCTACATTATCTAAAGGGTTGGCGCTAAAATACCGGCAACAGCTGCTTCGCGTCCACTTGCTCGCGCACCGAGCTTCTCTCTCTCTCTCTCTCTTTCTCGCGGCGAAAGAAAAACAGAAACACGTAAGCGTTATGAACAAATGCGCCCCATATATCCCAGATAATCGTAAGTTAGCTACACCACCGGAGCCGGTGGAGGCGTGTCCGAACCGGGGTATTCCGGGATCCGGCTTAGCCGCTTGTTGTTTATCAGCCGTTGTGTCGCACGGAGTCTGTTTAAGCCTCCGGCCGGACTCGTTCCGCGTCCCATGGTGGATTTCGTACACGGTCGTCCCTTGAGAATCAACCGCGAGAATGAAGGTCTGCCCGGGAATATTGTTTCGTGCCGATAGCGCCGTCTCCTTATAATGTTCCTCTATTTATAGAGTGCGTAAAAACGAAGTCACGCGAAGATTCCTAACAAAATCTTTGATAATGATATCTAAGCGGGACGTAGAACAGATCCCATTTATATGGATATGAGATTTTTCATGTACAAAAAAACTAATGGAAGACGCGAAAACACAACACGACACTAATAAACACTATAAAATTATTCAGATTTTTTTTGCAAAATTTTTTTCCACAATTTTTTCTTCGCAAAGAATAACTGAGAAAATGCACGTGACGGTTGTTAAAGATTGATGCTGCGGGATAAAAAAGTCGCATTACATCTCAAGGATTAATCCTTGCTATGATACCGCAGGTTAAGAGGTTTACGCTGAAAGCACGAGATAAATGAAACGCGAATGAGCGGGCCGATGTGCGAGCGCGCGAGCTAGCACGGGCGGGCTTGGGGTCGCGCTCGTTATAATGAAGTCATTTGCGTGTTCCTCGGGGTGAATCCGGGAGGAATGGAGCGCGTTGCGTGCTCGTAGGTTTGTCAAGACAGCGTAAGGGAGGGGGGGGGCGGAAGAACGTAGAAATGGGGCTGCTCTCGCTGCCGGCGGAACGACTAATTTCACCCGCTGCTTCTCTCGTATAACAAACAACCGACTAGCGTCGTTCCCGTAGTTGAGAAAACTCACTTCCGCCCCGTGGAAAAGGGAGCGATGTAAGGGTGTTACAGGGGACGAAGGATTGGGGGGACAATTCCCGCATCGCCGACACCTGCGGCTTCTACGGTGTGCGGTTTTCGCGAGTTTCTTGCCTCCCGATTAGATTCCCATGATCCGATTTGCAGAAGTAAAAGCACATTGTGGAAAGCGATGTAGAATAATTTAAGAGGGTTATTTCCGAAACTAGTGGTATCTGTTTCTATTGAAAAATAAGCCGAGATAATTCGTGCTTATTTTCCGAATTATATTAATATATACGATATTTCCACATCTTGCAAACCGTCTTGTGATAATTTTAACAAATTAAAAATTTTTTCAGTAAAAATACGGAGAAAAGTTAAACGTTATTATTTGTAAGTTTTTAATTCGTTGCGATACAAAGTTTATTATTTAAAAAAATTCGTTTAAAAGTTCAAAAAAACTATTTGATTAGATTTTCAATCATTTATAACTTGGAAAACCATATTGCTTTTTAATATTTTTCTGAAAGAGGAAAATCGATTCCAAATTAATCAGAGAGTATCCGTTCAACAGTTAAAAGTTCAAAAGTTCAATAGTTCAAAAGCGGACGTACGGCAAATCCCGCGTGACATATAATTCAATTTACAACTAACTTAATAGCGCACGAGAATTTTGAAAGTCTCCAAGTTTCTATAGATTTCGAACAATATGTTGGCGGCAGCCAACCCGGAGTGGAAACATGCGCCAATGAACGCAATAGTTGGCTGTAGTTTCAGCAATTCCCAAACACGCTGTTGGGAGGGTCTTACAGGTCTTGGCTCCCTGACCGAAAGATCTCGATACAACGATAATCCGATGTTAAGGCACGGTTGGAACCGCGGCAAAGGCGCCGCGATAGAAACGACTGTTTCGGTAGTTGCAGATGGGAGCGCAGCTCGGCATAGACAGCAAACTTCATCGCTTAATAGCATTAAGTTGTAACGCCCGTGGTAAGACCTCGTACCTTCGCGCGGGTTTAATTTCAAAACGGGAGCGCGAGCAAAGCGACGCTGTACACCGCGGTCGTTTAAAATTAGAAGGCATGGAAACGTAAGTAATCGATTCACGGCGGGGCCCGTCGCTAACAGGAAGAGCGTTTATTCCTATTACAATCCCGTTTAGCCCGTTACATAGTTGATATTTGTTTGCAAAATTTATAATCTCCAGTAGATATTTTTAATCAAGCGGTCGATAGATTTTTTCCCCCGACACGTGCTAATTGCTATTCTCCGCCGTGTAGCTCGCGGAAATAACATCTCCATAAATTAAAGTGCTTTGGCATTTACAGAATTTTTCATTTGCCGACGGGGGAAAAAATTTCATTTCAATCTGCACCGCTCGCGGAATAATCGCGTAAAAACGGCTGCGTGTCGAAAATTTTGATGCAGACGCTTAGTCACGAGTAATTTCGCGCCACAATTAGCGGCAATTCGCCGCCGTGGCGACACACGAGTTACAAGCCCGCGGAAGGTGGAAATCCTTATCAACGGCGAAGATAACGGAGACTTAGGATGCGCTATTTTAATTTGCATTCCCCACCTGTCTCGCACGACTAGCATTTACATACGGAAGCGTTTGACATGAAATATCTCGAGAGACGTCGGCGGCGATGCTTAAAGCTCCTCTTGCGAAATAATTTCTCCTGGCGATACCAGTTCCGCCGGATATCCTTCATCCTTTCTAATCAGACCGGACACTTTTTACACCAAGTAAGACCGAGGTCTAGTTACGAAGAGAGAGAGAGAGAGCTCCGCTTGATCATGATTGATTGAAACGTTAACGTCGTTATTGCGAGACGTGTGAAAGAAGTCGGATGTGCGTCAACACACGAGAGTCAATCGTCAATCACACGTCAATCAGCGCGATAATAATGCAAATAATTTCTTTTTCCAATATATATATTCGGGGACGCGGGCGCGTTGCGTGCACGCGACCATCGCGATGGAAATAGGCATATCCGCTTGTACGCTGTATGCCGTACATCGCGCGTGTCAGCGTGTAGATTAAGAGCTTAGCTCCCAGGTCGGCGGAGATTAATGCGGAGTTAATTCAGCTAATTGCACGGAAGAAAAAAAAAGCGCACAACGGCGCGGTCAGTGGATTAATGCGGTATTAATCAGAGTAATTGCATACAAGGGGATATCACGCCGCGGCGAAATTATGTGAAAGAACCTCGTGATATGTTGTATAAACGTGCCCCACCCCGTGGACATGCGATGATATATTTTCCTTTCGCGTGACGAATGCGAACGCTTCGCCTTTTCACCCTCTAACCGGTTTTTTCTTTTTTTTCGCCTTCTTCCCCCATTCGATTTTTTTTTCCACGAGTCACCCGACAAAGTTGACCCGTGACACGCCGGGCCATTACCAAGGTATCGATTTGCAACGGATATCGCTACTATTTATATAAACGCGGGAGAATGAAGAATGTAACAAAGTCGGCTAGGTCATTTGAAAATACCTGAGGGAGATCGATCAATCGGTTCGCAATATAAACGTCTCACCGCGACGGGCGCATAGCTCGCGTCCCGCTCGTTTAATGCCGATAATATTTCATGGTGCTTATATTTAACGATCGCGTGCTCTAAATGCACTCTGAAAATGTGACGAGTATCAGCGGCTGCGGGGGCGAATCGTTTCAGCGGGATCAATACATACCAATTTATATGTACATAGTTAATATATACTAAGCGGCTCTGACGGCAATAACCGTCACGGTCGATAGACATCTCACATCTTGCTTGAAATCCTGTCAACTATAAGCTAGGTCCTGCGTATAGTTCTCGGGTTAACCAAGCATCGATTGTAATTAGGGCAAATATTAACTGTACGCGCATAGAAATTAATGTTATCGCGCAAACTGCAATTTTTTTCTTTCAACCACTTAAACTGTTAAAGACGTTTAAGATCTATGAATAAAAAATGTTTTGCCCCCCCCCCCCCGCGCTTGAAATAACCTTTGCTCGAAATAAGTTCGCGGAATTTGCAATTACGATGCCAAATTAATGATAATGTACGCGGCAAGTCGAGGAACGTAAGACAGAGCAGTCATGCAGATTTAAGAGGGCGACGTAAGCCGTGTGTCCGCCTTAAGTTTCAGCATGTTCGAAAAATTGCAACGTCCCTCCCCTCCCCCCGACTCTGTTCTCAAAACTCGGCCGGCACACTTTATCGCTCCAACTTCGCCATTTAAGCGCGATGGAGGAACGCGAATTTATCGGTGCAGGCCTAGACCGGCGAAGTTGGCGGTCGCCAACGTGAAAAATAAGCATCACGTATGTAACGGTCGTTATCGATTGTATCGGGCGTGCAAGAAGAACGTAAGAGCCGGGGGACATTCTTTATCGACGTTTCCATCGAGACGGAATCGTATAATCCGAAAGTACTTACCGAATTCCACGGCGCGATATCTCCATCTCCGTCCCGTCGAAAATCGCGACTCGGAGTAGAAAGAGACGGTGAGCGGGAAACGAAGTTTGGCGCACAACTGCATTCTCCTCCTGTAAAACGACAAAGCGATTTGTAACAACGTAATTGATTTTTGCGCGGATATTCGCTTTATTGCCGCTCATTTCGCATATTACAACGTTCATACGAGCCGGAATTATCCGAAGGAGTTCGGCATTAAAACTTGATGCGGTGGGTAGAGAATCGTTTCGCATTCATCAAAACGGAGAATGCGAGAGCTCACTCGGCAAGATTTATGATTTGCGATTAACTCTACGCGACTCTATTGTTCGCCTGTCATTGTCGGCGCAATGAGACGAAATTCCTGCGCACAATTTGGCCGCGTGCCTACGACGATCGTGTACATGCAAAATTCCGCGGCATTCTGCAGAACCTGTGCAAAGGCGACCCGTTGCGACAGTTATAATCTCGCGGAGACGATAACCGTGAAATTGCCAAGCTAATGCAGTCGGTCAATGCAATCCGTCCCGCCTGGCCTCCGTCCTGCCGTTGCTAATTAGAGTTGAGACGGGCTCCGCTTTAACGAGTGATGCAAGGCACGGGGGGAGTTAATGCGCCAGACTGTAAATGGAATCGTTAATTTCTGTCACTGGCTGTCACGCCGCCACGCCGCGTTGTACCTCGACGAATTACGAAGCCATCTCGCCACCGGACACCGTGATAGTCATTAAACGCGATAAAATGAGAAATATATACGTCCTTTTTATCGCGCCGCGTTGGCAATGCGCGTTCAAAATCACGTCGAAAATTCGCGCAAAAATAAAATTCACGGGAGAATCATATGGCTTTCGGGGAAAAACACGAGGTCGATGCGCTTGTAATGCGAGTGCGCGGTTTTTGCGAAAGCGCGTTTTATCGACTCGTACGCGTCCGCGCCGGAATAATCCGCAAAACGTCTGACGTTACATTTTCGACGGATTTTTAACGCAGTCGATAAGTATTTGTCGTGTTTTTCGGTACAACATATTGCGCGGAAGCGGAGTAAAATATTAATTTAAAGGAACCCACGCTTAATGCGAGTTGCAGAATTTGACGAAATATCATGAACAATTTGAATGAACAATTAATTCACACGACTTTTCACAATCGCTGTCATTGCCGTCATTCAGCTACGGGTATTAATTTTATGCAAAGAGCAGCACCCCACCGGCAATAACAGTTCTGCTCAGTCCGACAACTGCAAAATAGCGCGGTGAATTTCGTTCTCGTTTCCCCCCCACGGGATGCATGAGAAGCGAACTGAGAAAGCGAAAGAAAAAGAACAAGGAGGATGCATAACGCGATTAAAGTGTTTCCCGCTGGGAGGGAACGGCGACAATCGGTCGGTTGTCGGGAAATGGGTCAACTTCCCGTGTAGAAATATGTACCGCTTGATGATATCCATCTATGCCGGCTGCGAGCAGCTCCGAGGAGACTCCGAGGAGTTTACTTACGTGCCAGGAAAACGGCGGAGGATGAGCGGTGCGAGGCGTAAAGGCGACCAGATGCGGATGTCAAACGGGAAGGATGGCGCGGTGTATTCGATCGCCGGGGAAAAAAATTACTGGTCAGCCGCGGCGAAATAAACAACAAGCTGGGTCAAATCTATCTCAATAAATCAACCTACGTCGTCCGTCGTGTCCCTTCTTTTTGCGCCCTCAAAACCCTTAACTTCCCTTTTCCGCTCGCGTCCCAGAATCTACAAAGCGGAATCTTTATCGCAGCCATTACCCTCGCGCGTGAGCTATCATGGTTTCGAAAGCTCGTAAAGATCATGATCGTTCGCAAGACGTGTAGCGTGGGATGTTCCCGGAATCCTGATGATCGATAGAACGAATGGGGCGAAGAGCTTTCGGAGAATCTTAGATTTGTTTCAGAAACTTGGCAATTTAATTCACGCACATATATATTTATGTATAATAAATTCACAGTCAGATAATTTCCAAGTTCTAAGCACAAGGGATTTTTCTCCATTTGGTATTAAGCATAAAAGACGCGAGATTTATGACAGAGCGTAGTCATGAGGGATCAAAGAAATCAACGAGAGTGTGTATTCCCATTCTGTGAATCTAGGTTCTTCCCCAACGGTACTACCGCATGGATAATAAATATTTTATCGCCAAAATAACCGCGCGAAATACGACTATCAGAATGTACGCGCATTGGTCCGTGCGGACACGACTATCCATATTTGTTCGTTCCACGAGATAACCGGAACGAGTGGCAATTTGGTAGATTTAGTAGATAATACGACGCGCATTCCACTTACGTTGATAGCTCGATAAAAGATTTATACTAAAATCTTCGTAAATTTTGTTTTATCAAACTATTAGGTCCTTGAATAAGTTCTCGCTGTTTCTTAAAAGATGGCGTAGCGGCACTCTGTGCATGGAATTTCGTACGGAAACGCATCAGCTAAGTAGTACTATATGTAACTCGAATTCTAGTAGATACAGTTTACCACAGTGTCAACCACGTGTTTAATTACCTATTGCGAAAATGTCTACTTTTGTGCCAAATAAAGTGTTTTGCGGGGAATTTTATTGCACTGCTTTATTCAAAAGAAATCTGCAGCTGAAGCACACAGAATTCTTGTTGAAACATATGGTGACAATGCTCTGTCGAATACGACATGCAGAGACTGGTTTAGGCGCTTTAAAAATAATGACTTTGACCTTGAAGATAAAGAACGTTCTGGAGCACCGACAAAGTTTGAAGACGAAGAATTGGAGGCATTGCTTGATCTAGATCCATGTCAGACGCTAGTAGAGCTCGGGAAAACATTGCAAGTAGATGCGTCAACAGTTTCAAAACGTTTAAAAGCGTTAGGAATGATCCAAAAGCAAGGACATTGGGTGCCGTATGAGTTGAAGCCGAGAGACGTTGAACGACGTTTTCTCATGTGTGAATTGCTGCTTCAACGGCATAAAAGAAAAGGTTTTCTGCACCGTATCATCACTGGAGATGAAAAGTGGATACACTACGATACACTGGATACACATGTGGCAAAACCAGTCAAAACTTACCTGGAAACGCTTCAATGGGAAGTTCTACCTCACCCGCCGTATTCACCGGACATAGCCCCCTCGGATTACCACTTGTTTCGGTCGATGGCGCATGGTTTGAGCGAGCAGCGCTTCCATTCTTTCGAAGAAACCGAAAAATGGGTCGATTCATGAATTGCGTCAAAAGATGAATCGTTTTTTCGACGGGGGATTCAATTACTGCCAGAAAGATGGGAGAAAGTGGTCTCTAATGATGGACAATACTTTGAGTAAAGTTATTGTAAGCCTTATATTTTAAATTAATGTTTTTTTAACAAAAAAACAGCGAGAACTTATTCAAGGTCCTAATATTTTCTCAAATTGTCATAACTTTGTTATTTACAAAAAATGATAGAGATAAAATAATCCATTAATCTATTATCAAAATCTTAACGTTAATCTTTTTTTATTAATTTTTCTTTTGTAAAAAAATTTACGCAAAAATATGACATCACATTAAAAATTATGTGCTTAATTTAAATTTTACAGATAAGTTAAAATTTTTAAATCTTTCTCTTTCTCTGCAATCAGTACATTATAAAATAGTTATTATATTATAAATAGTTATCATATTTTTGAGAAAAGAGAGAATTTTTAGAAATATATAATAATTTTCTTAAAAACCGTTAAACATTCTTTAGAAAATTTTAAAAATATTTTCAAATTTTATTTATATATTTTTGAGATGTATAAAAAAAATACGTTTTTTAATTATATATTTTTGAGACGCTTAAAAAAGATATCTTTTTTATACATCCTTGAGAAATGTACTGACGTTCAGATAATCAGCTGAAATTCCGCAGGAAATCGTAAATTCAAAGCCAACTACTTAACAAGAAAAAAGAAGTTACAAGAAGAATGCTTTTAATCTAGATAAAGAAATTTCTTCTATAAAAAAGAGAGAAAAATCGATAAAAGTATATACAACTCAGAAATGTACAAGCGTTCTAGAATTAAAGTTGATTAATATCACATCTGACATTCATAGATCACGTAGCAGCAAAAAAATTAATTATCCATCTCAGATGATATAAAGAGTTCTTATATCATCTTAACCAGCTTGACGTGCTTTGAAAAGAAAGTAATGGGGAAAGTAAAATACGAGTTACGCGGTTTACGGGTCTATAAAAAAAAAATCTTTATAGTGGAAGGAACGATGACGTGCGATGACGTACGTTTATAAGCCTCACCCTTTAAAATTTATTATTTATCGCATCCAGTCCATTGTCGTAACATCTAAAATTGAAGTTGAGTTTTCGCCGTCTTCTTCGGTTTCATAAAATAAAAGCAGTTTCCACGTTCCTTACGATCGTGGAGCTCGGGACGAAGGAGAAACGCCGCGAGCTATTCGATTCATCCCTCGTAAAGCTCGCCCTTTTATCCACGGCCCTTTGGAGAAACTGAACACTCGGTTCTTAAAACAGAGAGGACGATCAGGAGGACCAATTGGCTTTTGCCGTCTAATGATCGAGCCTTCGGGCCGTTCGACCTGGATCGTTCGAACGGAGCATTCGATGCGTACAAATGGCGGATACATTGAGCTATTCCCGTGAAAAACGGGCGAACACGATGAAAATGCTCGTAATGAAAAGAAGAAAGCGCGCGAAGTTATAAAGGACGAAGCGAAGAGTGCCTCCGATAATGGCGAGCGCGATCATTTTCGGATTACTCGATCGACTCATTCAAGCACTATTAAAAGTTGCAAATTACGACGGGTCGAGCAGTGCTCGGTGATTTATGCGCAATAATTCCCCGCGATCACTTTCCAAAAGAGGATGATAACTCTCCGTTAACGCGAGCTGAGTTTATTAATTCATTAATATGTAATCACTTTGGACACCGATATTGAATTATAATCGCCGGTATTGGCGGCGGAAAATGCGATAACTTACGTATAATATATCGCGCGTGTACAGACAGCGACTCACTGTCCCGCGTATTTAATTTAGAATAAATTCGCGTAACTCGATAAATCTAGCATATCGATTACACCATCGGGTTTTCCCAAG